GGTACATCAATATGAATCTAAAAGTAAAATGATAATAATGATGTACACAAAAGTCATTATTTCAATTCAAAAAAGATTTTTAAAAAATTTTTTAATTATCAATAAGTAAAATTTACTTGATGCCATATTATATGATCTAATCCTTCTATTCCTCTCGCGTAAGCTTGAGATACACTATCTATATATTCTTTTCTTTTACGCGCCAGAGTTGTAACTCGGCGATCAGTATTACATGGTAAATAACCCTAATAAATTGTTATACAATGAACAAATAATTTAATTAAAAATTTAAGGAAGCGTATATATATATATATATATATATAATATTGAAACCTACAAGTAAAAGTTGCCACGTTATGGGTCTCAGCTGAGCAGGTATACCCGACCAACTAAGTTTCCTAAGTTCGGCTATTAATATATCAAGGATAGATAAATAAAAAATTTAATTATTTAATTTTTTTAAGAATCAAACCATTCAAACTGGTTCAAACTAATTTAATTTAATAAATAAATTTAAAAGTACCAATAAAACACTACCAACCTAAATCAACGTTAGGACTTGTTAAAACATTAACAAATTCGGTAGATTTAGAACCATAAATTTTTTTATTGTTTATTAAATTGATCGGATCTATGTGATATTTAAAAATATATATATATATATGATTGTTATATATGTGTGTAAATAATGAATGAATGAATGAATGAATGAACGAATGAATGAATATATATATATATACAAATGTACCATGCACGATTTCTGCAATTTCATTTTTAACATTAGATGTTTGATTGTCGTTAAGTGCCAATCTTTCTGCAATCGAATCTGACGAATCATTGGATTTCTCTTTGTCATTGTCGGTATTATTATTATTTAATGATGATAATGATGAAACCTCTTTATTTTTTAAATTTCTTTCTGTGGATAAGTCTTCTTCATCAGATTTATCATTCCAATCATCATTTGTCTCGGTCAAGAATTCAAAAAAATCACTTTTAGAAGGCTCTTGTGAATTTTCTTGGTTACTTAAATCTCCTACTTTATTATTGCTATTATTGCTACTGCTATTACTATTACTATTACTATTACTATTACTATTACTATTACTATTACTATTATTAATTTTGTTGCTGGATGGCGGTTGTGATAACATATGACTATTAAAAAAGATTAATTAATAAAAATATAATTATGGTTAATTGTATACTCGATTGGTCAATGAAAATAAAAACTCAATCACCTTAGACCTTCAGAATTAACATTTGACAACATATCATTATAAGAGTATTGAGCACCAATGACCAAATTTGTAGCACCAGTCTTGGATTCTACTGGTTTAACACTAATCGATTGTAAATCCAATAAGTATAAAAAAAGTAGACATGTCATAAAAAAAGTATATTTATAATTAACAATGATAATCTACCTGCCAGGCAATGCAGAAGTAGGACGACGCCAAAAACCATTCCTTTTCATATAAATATGTTAATAGTAAATAAATGAATAAAGCAAATAAAAGGTTTATTGAATCTTATTAAAGATCTTACTTTTTTCCAGAAGAATTCGGGAAAACATTAACATCGGCCATGATTTGTTTTATTTAAAATATTATAATATTACAATAATGATGATAATAATAACAATACTTGTTTAATAATTTATTTTATAAAACTTTTTAGTAACTAGCAACAAAGAAATATTATTATCATTAAAAGAAAATGATTTGATATTTTTAAGAATTATAAAATGCATTAAATTAAAATAAATTTAAAGCAACCGACTGATGTAACAATTTGTTGATCACTTATTTATTATTGTACATTTTTTTATTATTATGAGCAAATTAGTCTAACCAAAGTTGCTTAAGGTTACTTTATTTTTTTCTATCACAATTTTCTTGTGTCATTTAAAAAAATTTCCTCTTGAGGGAATAAGGGAGAGAGGACCGTAAACACTAATACTTTAAAAAAAGGATAATGAATTCAAATTAATAGAGAAGGGACACCGCACAATTATATGCTACTATGTTGTGCGGTTTACATCATATCGACCAAACTCCCAAAATATCATAGTAAAAGACGTGAGAAGAAGCTTTTGACACCAAGATCTTGTGAATACACGGATTAGAACTCGAGACTGTCATTTTTATCCCCATTTTTTTGAAATGACACTATCAAAAAAAATTTTTTGTCGAGAATCACATAATTCATTTATAATTGTGCAGTGACTCCATAGAGAATAAAAAAATCATCTTTTTCTATCCACTTTTTTGAAAATTTTTATTAAAACATCAAATTAAAACCCAAATAGTATAATAATGGTTATGATGGTAATCCATCAGAAGAAACCCAAGGTTGAACCGAAGAGGTATGAAATATATAGGATAATAATTACCATTTTTATGCACGTGATATTTTGGTGACAGCAATACCAAAACCGTCAAGATTTGAAATTTCCGGAATAATTGACGAGCTAATTCGTGATGTGCAGGCGCACCACAATAAAACTGAACACGTCTATACATTACATATTGCCAATTCATGTGACCATTAAATCAAATTATTATTGGCCAACTTTATTGGCGTCACACGAATTATTTTCATAATATAAATAATATAATCAACCGACTGACTGCATTTATTCAGAGGGTTGTGAAGTTTAACATATAAGGACAATTTTAGGGAAACATCCCAAAGTGTTTCATGTGCTAAATTTATCAATGTTAAAAGGATTCCTTGCAAATGTGGTTAAATTATTCCAATCAGAACCAACTATATCAAGTTGCAAATTTAAAATGACATTCAGAGAACAAAGATTGTAATTTTTTTCGATTTATTATGAGTAGCGCAACAATTATCAACTTTCCTGATATTAATTAACATTCAGTGCTCTCGGCCTGTCCTTGTACAGAAATCACGTGATAAATCATGATCTGACGCGTTTTCAATAGATAAGATTTAAAAAACTGCAGGTACGATCTTTTTGTGCCATCGTCGATATTCCATTTTAATATAAACAATACATTAAAATAAATATCCAGATTCGTAAGTAAGATTAGGATTATGTCAGCAATATTTTATGCAATGATTGTTCCAAAACCCATCAAAAAAAAAACAAATATAATTAACCGATAAGGAAATTTTGTTAACTATAAAATAAACATACATATATAGTAATAATGATATATATTCTTGAATTAGAGTTTGACAATATATAAATGTAATTTAAATTGCGCATAATCACGTTATTATTATAATTACGATGACGCCACAATTGTATTACACCATCGTGATGTCAAACGGCTTTTTCTCCTATCTCTCTCTCGACTATATTGCATTTATTTTCTGAGACAATGTGTTTTTATGCCAAGCTTTGCTTATTGTTAATAATAATCATACATTGAAACATTTTTTGTACAAGAGCTGGCTTGTGAATCTATTACTAGGGAATCTGAAAATTTTAAAGTAAAATCCATATAAATAAATTCTCGTGTAACAAATATAATTCTATATTTTCAGCTTTCATCCAGATCACGTATTTTGCTGTGATCTTGGGTTAGAAATATAGCCGGATTCAATGTAATTATTTGGAAATTTAAATATACAACCTTAAAAACAAAATAAAATGTGACATTTAAACTGCAGTTTATGAGCACTAATTAATTCTATTATTGTCCCGCTGATCATTAATAAATTCTGATGAAAATCAAAGCATAAAGATACATATGAGCAATTATCAAACTACGGCTGTGTCAAAGTGAACAAAAAGAAGCAGTAATTTTTTAATGGTTCTCGTCAACACGTGATCACATACCAATGGTAAATAATGTTAATCAATTTTGTACTACCCAAATATATAAAGTATGTTTATAGGGGGAAAAAAGACAGCTTAAAAAAATTTTTTTTTCAGATCTGTGGAATTTTTTTTATTGGTTTCCTTTTCATGTGTTTCGCATTTTTTTTTAATCATTACGTTATCACTATCACTATTATTATTAATGATCAAAAGTAAGTCCTGTAATTTTTCCCAATCGAATTTCTGGCTTTCTTTTTTTGCATTAGATAATGATCCTTTGATTAATTATGTAATATTATGTATGGTTCAAATGTAAAGGCGATCCGCATAAATTTAATATGACTCGGAGTCATCCATCCATCATCCATCCATAAATGAATAAATTAATTGATACATGATATGGAATGAGGACTTCACCATCATCATTATAAATAAATAATAGTAAGAAAAATGGGCTTCGTTGAACCCCATATTTATCAATTAAAAGTAATTATTAATTAAATTAAAAAAAATTTTTATTTAAATTTAATGACATTTACAGTAATTAATCGTGACAATTAAATCTAGAATTCCAAGTATTATATAATATTGGATGTGACTCTGGACCATTATTTCTTTAGCCTTTTTTCTAATCCTGGAAGAATTTAAAAAACCTTAAAGATGTCACAAAATTAAAAAAACGTATATAAATAACTAGTTAAATAATAATTAATCATTGTGTTAGGGAAGGGCAGAAAATGTGATTAATTAGGGTTAACCCCCCTCCCCTCGTGGCTCAAAATTCAGGTAAACAAAGTTTTTTTTTTTCACTATATAGATTAAGTGTAACGTGCAAATGTTGAGAACCCCTCCCCCAATTTATAAACACGTATTTACTTTGTTCTATGTATAAAATAAAAAATATAATAAATATAAATAAATATTTATATTACACGATATAAATTGTATTTATGTATAATAGTTACTTTGCTATAATAATTACAATTAAGAGTTTTGATTATGTAATGTGTAAATAAAAAGTTTTTTTATATCCAAATATAAATAACCCAACAAAAAAATCAATCAGAAGCAAAAAAAATATCTGAATAATTTTTTTGATAAAATTTCTTTTTAAATAATAATAATAATTATAATAATAATAATATTATAATAATTATAATAATAAATAATATTATAATAATAATAATAATAATAAATAAATAACATGGCGGCAGATAATTCAAAGGATGAAGATTCTTTCGAAGATAATCATTCTAGTAATGATAACAACAACAATGATTTAAATTATTATATTGAAAATATTAGTAAATCTTTAAGGATCGATTCAACCGATGGATTATCACAAGATGTAAGATTGCAAATTGCAATCAAATTATTAAATGAAGCTTTAAAAATTTATCCCAATACTTTTGACTTGAAGGTAAATTACTATTATTATGATTATGGCGAGAATAAAAATTATTTTCTTAATTATGTGAAAAAAAATAGTTTTTAGCACATAAAATATCAGTAAGAAAAAGTGAAATGACTCAAGCTATGGAGCAGCTTAATGAATTGTAAGTAAAGCAGTTATTGTTATTTTATCATCATCATCATCATCATCATCATCATCATCATCATTATCATTATTATTATTATTATTATGGTTTTTTTTTAATAATTATTATGATATTGTATTATTATTATTAAATAAATTGATAATTATAATTAAAGAAAGAATAAATATTGAGTAATAAAATAAAAATTATTATTAGACGCGTGCTTTACCCAAACAATCAAATCCTGAGGGATTACCTTGTACAAATAACTCACTCAGTAAGAAACCAACTTATTGACGATAATTTTAGTAAGTGATTTTTACATTACTTTTTATTTATTAAATTTTACATTAATTTATTGTTTATATTTTGTTTCGTAATTTTCTTTCAGGTTTTTTCTTAAAAATCCCTGCCAAAACTCAAATTGAAATTTTAGTTCATGCTGCAGGTAAAAAAATTTTTATTTACGGGTTGAATGAGTTGGTAAGTGTAATTTAATTTGTCTATTTCAATTTATTAGTTTATTATGAAAACATCTCCGAGACGCTTGACGCATGTAGATTATATATTTTAATTTTGAAAGTTTACCCGGATACTGTGAATCTATATGGAGTAACTATTAATTTATTTTGCTTATTTTTATCTATTGACCTTCACAATATCTTATGGAATAGAATAGAATAGAATAGAGTATCACATAGTAACACTTAATATTATATATATATTTATTTAGACACATGCTGCAGAACTTGCAATTCAATGTGAAAATGAACATTCGCCATTACCTGTAATCAACCCTTTTCGACAAATATTAGGTTAATTATATGAAACAAATTTATACATGTGTATATATATATTATTGTTATATTTATATGTATAATAAAGCTAAATCTTTTTTTTTTCTTTTCAAGTTGAAGAAATTTTATCAGTAATTTTGCATCAAAAAATTATCATACACAAAAACACTCTGCCCTCAGAGTTACAATACCCAAATCAATCATCAAGCACGCCTAATCTATACTCTATTTCACAACAACCTTCATCAAGTTTACAAACCACTTATGATAACTTAAAAACTTGGCTTGAACGTGCTCAAAGCTATTATATTGCAAGTAAAAAATGGCGAAAATTGTTTGAAGTTTCTTTGGGTGTAATGAATAGTTGTGGTTATATAAGATTTGAAAGGTATAATAGTAAGAATGATGATGTTAATATCATTATCATAAGCTGCTTGTAATTTAATAATAATACATATTCTCATATCTATAGTTCTCCCCAGATTACGATAATAGATCTGTTTGAAGAACAACTTAAACTACCTGAGAAACTGTTTAAATTACTTAACGAGAAACAATATTCTGTTTATAACAATAAAGGATTTATAGAAGGTGTAAGGACTACCTTTCCTTTTGCAATATCAATTGGAATAGCATGTTTTGTATATTGCTGTCATCAATTCTATGAATTGGTAGCTGGTTCCAAAGCCATCACGACTAATGATGGTACAGGTATGTTTACAATTGCGTATATAAACAACGTCTATAAGAATTGTTTATTAATTATTGTTTAATTAAGGTAAAAGAGATTGTTTAATACCAATATATCCTATTACTATGATACAATCTTCTTCTACGTCATCATCTTTATGTGTTCACAATCCACCTATAAATGAAATGTCTGATCAACAGCACACCGGCAAAAAAAGAAGAACTGACTTTATAATATCTGAAGAAACCGACAAAAACAACAACAACAATAATAACGAAAAAAGCAATGTCAATAACAATCCTTTAAATCCTGATGACGACAAGGAGGCCACAGCAGCAAATAACTCTAGGAGCACTAATATAATGAATGTTAAGAACTTGTTGATTAATGATGATGATTATAATAATAAAACTGATAGGAGCAAATCTCTATCGAAAAATTGTCAAACCAAAAATGATGAAATTTCAATGAAATCAGACAAATTAAAAGATACTACTGATCGTGATAGAGGTGTCATTTAATTATTCCTATTTAATTATATCAAAGTAGATTTATATACCAATATATAATGCAACTTTCTAACATCAATTAATACTTTTTTTTCATAGAATCATTATCATCACTAAATGATGAAGCCATGTTATTATTAAAACGTTCTTTGGATTGTTGGGAATTGTTAAAGCAGTTGATCACAAATGGAGACGTCTCAAAAAGCAAAACAGTAGATCACGGTAACAAAACAATCATGATCACCCTTAATAAATCATAAATATTTATTTTACTAAATAAATATCTCAATTGTTGATAAAATACAGAGATAGATCTATTTACCAGATCTTGGTGTTTGCCTTTAGATGTTGTAAATGCTTTGATGTTAACTCGTGCTGATATTGCCCTTTTGTTAGGAAACTTGGACACTGCATATAGGATTTATCGTGATATGTGTGGTCAATTTTCTGGTGCTTGGGATGCTCATCGTAATCGAAAATTAAATAAAAAAGGACGTTATTATACCTCACCATCGTCATATTCACCGTCACATTCACCCTCACCTTTCTCACCCTCATCTTCTATACCATCTCCTACATCATCACTATCACCAAAACCGCCAGTTACTACCGTTACCACTATCATTGACACAACTTTTGTTAAAGATTCACCGGAACTTTCTATTGTAAATGCTGACGATGAAATCAAAATTCAAACACCTTTAATGCTTCCATTTCGTGTTCTTTATACAATAGCAATCTTATATTTGTTAGTAGGATCATATCATGAAGCTAAAATGGAACTACAGATAATATTAGCTACCATCCCTTTCACCCCTGTTACACATGAACATTTCGAAAAGGATAGTCGGATTATTGATGGTGGTGGTAGTAGTAGTAGTAATAATAATGATAAACGCGAATTTACTTTTATGGCAGTGTCAGAAGATGGATTAGTTGTTCGTGCTATTAAAGAATTAATGGACTGTTACAAGGTTTTTTAAAAGTTTTTTAAAAGGCTTTTAAAAGTTTTTCCCACGCATTTTTAACAATTTTCAAATTATTTTATTTTATAGAAGGAATTAAATTCATCTTCACAGAGCCTAAACGATGATTATAATACATTAGGAAATATGATCGTATTGATGCAACATGGTTGGCCTTATTGGCGTGATCGCCTTTTTAGGCCAGTTGTTTTACAAAAAATTAAAGAACTTAATGGATTAAAATATCCGGATTTATTAGGTTTTGTTAGCAGTAAGTTAATTTCTTTTTTTTTTATTACTGTTATTGTTATTGTTATTGTTATTATTATTATTTATTTGTTATTTCTTTTATGGTTTTTTAAAAAATATATTTTAACGATTCTATTATTATTATTATTATTATCATCATCATTATTGAAATCACATTTTGATTTAAATAAATATATTATAATATATGTTAATATATAAGACATTGATATATTAAAAGAACTACATGATTTATACAAAGAGAATCCAAATATCTATTATTGTCTAATATCATCGTCACCGTCTTCTTCATCGAATAATAATGAAAACAATGAAGCAACCAGATCAATTAAAGCATTAGAAGAAAAGATTAAGAATGATTCAATATATTCTTATTACAATATTATTGATGATAATAATAATAATTCACTAATGGAATTTTGTAAAGCAAAATTAGTTGAAGCAAAAAAAAAGTCGGAAAAATCTTCCTCTCCTTGTGTTGTTAAAATTGAAAGAAGAAATGAAAGAAGTAAAATTAGTGATTACAATAATAGTAACAATAATAACAAAATAGATACTTTTAACATTAGTAATAATAGTAATAATAATAATAATAATAATAATAATAATAATAATAATAATAATAATAATAATAATAATAATAATTCAATCTCTTCTGGATCAACAAAAAAATTTTCGAAAATGGCTGTATCTTCTATTTTAACCAGTGATAGCGATATTTAATGAAAATAGTTCATTAATATTGGTTCATCTATTAAACACAAAAAATAATATGAAAAAAGACTATTTTTATTATTTTTTTTAATTAATTTACATAGAATTTTTTTTCATGTATAATAATAATAATAATAATAATAATAATAATAATAATAATAATGAGTTTCTCTGTATTATTTTATTTCCACAAAAGTCTGTGATCAATATAGATGGGTGTCTAAACTAAATTATTTAGACAATGTCTAAAATATAAATTAATTTAGACATTTGAATTTTTTATTGGATAATTTACTGACTTTGTGGATTTTGTGTATCTACACGTGACTTTTAGTTGTATTTATATTAATTTAGACATTTAGACATTTTTGTCTAAATACTATTTTGACTTTAGACAACCCCAAAAACAATTTAGACGCCCATCTATAGTGATCAAGTAAATGGTATTCAAATACGCGTATTTTTATTTTTTTTCTCGCAGAATTCTCACGAAATCAATTCTACCACGGATCTGTGACAGTCACATCTTTTTTATACTAAATGGAAAAAGTATTCTCGTCTTTTAACTTTAGTGAAAATGAAGAAAGATCTATTGTTTGATTGGTTCTAACAAATTTTCGACTTTTCGAGGAACTTCAACTTGCGTCAAATTAATTATTATTTATAAAAAGTTACGTAAATCCTAATCTTTTACATCTAATAAATAACCACCGCCTAATTCATCATCATATTTTCTAACAAATAATTGTAAACTTCACGATTATTACTTTGAAGTGGCTTTATTGTAAATGGTTTAGGTTTTAATTCTTTCCAAGCTAATAATGAATTCATGTCAGAAATATCGGTTTTTTAAGCTTTTGGTAGTGTTTGATTAATATTAATTATAACCTGCTCTAAATGTAATATGTTTTTTAATTATTACAATTATTAAATTACAATTGATCAAATTTATTCTCGCTCAATAAAAGTGGCGTGTGACTGAGTATTGATTTGCTATGGATGATATTAATCCATTGAACTTTCAGACAAGGCATATTGCCTCCAGATCGATTTTGAGTTAGGACTACCTTTTATATGTAACACTTTATAAGGAATATTTTTGGCTTGGAAAGAAAAGATAATAGAGTACAATATTATTTCATTCGATGCAACATAAGTTAATTCGTTAATTTGTAGAAAATTTCAATATAAAAAGTTTTATTCAATCAGGACGACGAAGACCTTTATAATCACGTTTTTATTGCTAATGCCTTTCTTTCACTATCCTGGTATAAATGAGTGAATACAAATCAGTAAAAATGTTCCAGTTCTAATAAAAAAACCCACAATAGCCGTCCATCCTCTCCCAAAAAAAAAGTGATTCGTCGTCCAAAAATGCGTTTCTAAAAAAACCAATCAAATCTACCATAATTGCTAGACATTTTTCTTGAATGCATAATTCTTAGACTTTCAAATAAAGTAGAAATTCGAGATGTTAAAGATTATTGAAAGAATCAATAAAATTAGCAGCTTGGGATCCTGAGAATTAATCAAACAATTAGATTAAATAAAATAATAAAGTAAAATATATATTCATATAAAAAGGTATATTATGATTTGACGAAATATAGTATAGCTATAAAGAATATTATTAATATCTGTGCCTTCATTCACAAATTCCACCACCACAATAACAATGATTGTTTCTTCATCTTTATTCACTACATTATCATCATTTCAGCGTGTCTTATATTATGGATTCTAGTAAAGATTTGATTTTATTGAAGATATTGATGACCGACCGCACTTATTATGTCATTGACTATAATAACAATGGATACGAGGAAATATTAATAGTAATATTGACAGAAGGTGTGAGGATACTATAAACATTAATAGCAATGTTGTAAAAGTGAATTTAAAAAAATCAAAAAAGATCACAAAAAAAAGTTATATTTGGAACTACTATAAATGACTTCTTAATAATAATACTTATTCAACTAAAGTGAAATGTGAAGTAAATGGTCGTGGCATATCATAAATCTATAACAACATTGATTGAACACCCTTGTTCTATACATAATATTAACGAAAATTATTAAAGTGTTAGGTGGTCTAATTATTATCCAAAGTTGCTTTAATCCAAAAGCACATTATTATTAAGTCTAAAAAACATTCTCAGATGAAATTGAGCAGGTAGATGAAGAGCTTGAGCTGAGATGGGAGAGCTTTTACAAGAATGTATTAAGTAAGTTAGAAATTTTGTGATTACTTCCTTTGGGGAAGAGGTCAAGCAAATGCATCTTGTGCCCTTTAGAAAAGAAATTTTATCTACAAGAAAATAGGTGTAAATTTAAATTAAGAGAGTAAATAAGGATTATCAACAAAATGAAAAGATTCTGGTAAGTAGGTAGATGCAAAAGAAAATAACCAATACTTTCCTAATCTACATTTCTGGATTAATTATCTTATGAAAGATATACAATTACATTATTATTGTAGCATTGAGTCACTTAACACCACCAAAATTCTTTTATGATGTTAGTTATGTTCATTTTGTGGTTTTGTTGCAGAATGCCCCAACTATAAAGCATTATTAACCGGAGGAACAAGTAAGTTTTATAGAATCAATCATTTTCTAATGCACTACAAAAAAATATCCTCTTCAGAAAACCTTGTTGTATATTGTTCTTGACATATATATATGAATTGATAAATTGAAGGCCTGGAATTATTGTTATTGTTATTTTAACAAATTCAAAAAAATTTATTACAACTTAAAAGTAGGAAAAAAAAAAATGAAAATAATATTTTCTATATTTTTTCTTTAATTTTTTTCTTTCTCTATTTTTTCTTAGTCTTCAATGTTTTGCCTAAAGGAGTTGACAATGAAAATGAGATAAGAAGATCAGAATAAATTAATCAAATAATAAATAATTGATCAATAATCAATAATCAATAATCAATAATCAATAATCAATAATCAATAGTCAATGATCACCTTTAGCATTCCTTGGTATCTAGCTGTTTTATTACAAGATTTTGGAGGAGGAAATCTGAATCTCCTATCTTGATAAGCATATTTGTATTCTTTGATTTCATCATGATAATAATGATGTTTTGTTTATAATAGAAAAAATTGATGACTTAAAGGAGGTATTAAGAACTTTATTGTTATTATGATTTATTCAAGACAATACATTATTGCTTGTCAATAGTAAATTGGGTTTTTTCAAAAAAAAATTTTTAAACAAGATTTTTTTCTCCCCACTCCTACAATTAGAATGATATGCGCGCAGATCATTTATATTAATATTTTTTCAAAATTCCCATTTTTATTATGCTCAGTCAGATCGAGTCATGGTAAGCATAATGGACACTCATTTTGTGCAACAGTCATTTGTATAATAGGCAGGCGGTTACACAGAGCCCATTGCTTCTGA